ACATTTTTCGGCGACGAAGTTCCTCATTATTTGAGTCGAGATTAAATGTTCAACGAGATTAAGTGCACAATCATGATATTAACTGTGCCGATACAATGTCATTTCACTATGTGATTACGCATCGAATGAGTACCGTTCCAGATTCGTGGTACAAAAGGTGCCGAAACAAGTTTGTACCGGCACACTGACATTCACCTGTAATTTATAATATGTTAATTGGGATTGTGTTCGTTCATTGCGTTCGAATTTCGTCGGACTGAGGAAATGGATTTTCGCATGTTCTTTTCGAATGATTAACTTCATTTGCACTGTAGGGAAAAAGGTACACACACACACAAATGGAAATCGGTTCGCATATTAACTGGCAAGAAATGAGGTTTTCAAGCGGGAAAATGCCCAATATTCTGAAATTTATTATTTATTGTTCTGTTTGTTCCGACTCAGTTCATTCACGAGTGTAAATCATTACATTTTCTCATGGCAATATACGTGAGATTCGCGTAAACTCCAAGAAGAGAACAGAAAAAACGGCAACAATACAACGGTGCACAATTTATCGAGGATAAACCGTCTTAATTAAACGGAAGTTCACTTTCATAGAAGCCAAATCAAAAACTGCAAATGCCAAAAATAAAACTGGCGTGTATTTTGAATGTCACGTGATCATTTCAACGAAATCATAAATGAATAGTAAATTATTTTTCGACGACGATGACGACGATAGATCATTTTAAACGTGCGATTTAGCCAACCAAAGTCGCGCTATTTCTGCTTAAATGTGGCAATTTTCCTTTCACGAACTCTTTTTTTCGTTCTGAACAATGTCAATGCCTTTCATCTGCATCTGGCAGCACAACCTCAACCAAGATCGCCCGAATGGATATATGGCAAACGGCTTTCTATAATAAATTAATGTCTAAAAATGAATTGAGCAGAAACAAAACCAAACGCAGAAAAGAAAAAAAGAATTGGTCAAATGACAAACCATTCTCGCTTCGAATGGTGAACTTGGCTAGAGTCGTGGTGATGACACATTTGCATTTTGTGGTGTCGTGAATAACCTCATGCTCCATTGGCTAGATTCTATATATGCGAAGATCGCAAAAGACGACAACAACGACGACGACGACGACGCAAAGTGAAATTGATTGCGTGCACTCTCCACGAGATGTGTGTTTGTGCTCCGAACCTCAAGCATTACGGCGTTTCAGCCCATTTTTTATTGAGCTCAAGAGATAGAAATAGGCACACATCTTGTTGTGCCCCATGCAAGCAAACTTAACAGCGAGAAGAAGAAGGAAAAAAAATTAATTTTTCTTTGTGCCATGTTAATGAGCTGAATTTACCGTTGTAAATTTAATTTCCGATTATTTCGTGTGTTTTTTTGCCTCTCTTTTTGTTTCGATGTGAGAATCATGTTTGACAAACTTCATGTCGACAAACAATTTGTTGTCAGCAGTGGGAATGCGTGTTCTTCTTCAATATCCCCAATTTCTTTCATGTGATTCCCATTGTGTGTGTGTGCGTATATAGATTTGTGACTGGTGAATTGGTTCGTTAGGTTCAGTGGCATTCGTGGAAAATGTTCTAAACACAATTCACAAATTGATTGACATGGAGACTGAGCAACATTTGATGGTTTCAGATCACATTTCTGATAGAAAAACTCCATAAACATTAGCTCGGTACGTTGATATGTATTTAATTGGATTGCATTGGTACCTTAAATGGCTTTGTTTCGGCTCATTTCAATTGATGTGTTTGCTGCCTTTTTTTCTATGACAAAAATTAGAATAGATAACGGTTTCGACCGTCACCTAATCATAAGTTCCCTTCATCGCACATAAATTGAAATGTAGCCGCGTTAAGAGATAGATGCGCTGGGAAACCGAACAAACAAGACATTGAATGTATCATTCAACACACAGAGTGCGTGTACTTGGAATCGGTTCAGTGGAGAAAAGAAAAGCGAAAAAGAACAAACCCAACACACAACCGACGAAATGATTGCATTCTGATTGCTGTTTGTGCGGAACAAATACGGCCGATTATCGAAATTTTCAATTACGTGCATATTTTTTCGGATGCTCAAGTGCTCTGTTCAACGCATATTCATTTTGTAACGAATTTTCAACGCTTTGGTTGTTTTTCTCCGGATTGAGCCCGTTGTAATTTGATTGCATATTGAAATGTGTCAGTACGGTAATCCAGTGTCTTGAACGAAACACACACCCATTCCATGTTCGGATGATGCATTCTGATGGTTTTGTACATTAGGCACATACATTTCAATCAAATTTTCGGTTTATCTGTTTGTTATTTCTCTTCTTGTCATCTTTGAAACTTGTTTCGATTGTGTCATTATCTCATGGATTTTGGCTTTCGTTTGACGAAAGAAACTAGCACTTGAAACACAAAAAACGTTGTTTAAGACGGCAACGTAATAATTTTTTAAACAAAGAATAAAATTAACCAGAAAATCGAAACAAGCAACAGCAGCAGCAGCAGGAAGTGGAATTTTAGTGAAATTGTAAACAGCCGCCGCCGATGAACCAATCGAATCGAGGCAATGGTGCGACTGATATGTGTGCATTCAGCGGACAAAACAGTAGTCAGAAATATGCAGAGGCAGAGGCAGAGTGACTGAGTTGTTCAAAAGGAAATGATAAACAAACGACAACTTATACTCGGCTTCGTGTAAATTGACACTTTTAATTTGGCCGGTGTTGGAAATGACGATTTGATAAAAATGCGTATTTGATGGTTTTACGCGTGCAACACAGTTGAAAAGTGGCTTTCACCGTTTAACGCATCACTTAAAACATCCAATTGTCGACATGATAATTACCAGAATCGAAAAGCAAGCGGACTGAACGTTGACACAAACACAGAGAGAGACAGAGAACCGCATGCGATGCGCATGAAAGGAAATCGATGGCATTCGAAAACCGGCCTTCATTTTCTATAATGATCACAACAATTGAATATCGAAAGCAAAAGAATGGAAACGGAGTGAGAGAGAGAGTGGACAAAGATAGAATCGATGGCAAATTGAAAGAAGAAGAATAAAAGTTTTTGGTCGAACGAGAATATTTGTGTCTGTGTTTTTGGAACATGAATTAATCTCAAGACGACCTTAAAGCCCATCGAAATAAAAAAAAAATTGTCGATTTTGTCTTTTTCGTATGAAAACGCAAGCAACAATTGTTGTATACAATTTTAAATGGAAATATTCTTGTGATTTGTTCGCTTTCTTTCGAGAAATAGATTCGAACGTGAAATCAAAACTGAATTTTCATGCAAACACATTTTTTTCCTTTCTTGACGATAAGAAGTTCGACGTTCGCGTGTAGCGAAATGGATAATGATCACTTGATATTTGTTTTGTTAACATTCATGAACAAAAGAAAAAAGCGAAGAATTCTCTTATACCTTTTGTTGAACAGAATTGCGGCCCAGTAAAAGTGCAACTATTCACGGTTAGAAAATGATCGGTTTGGCGCAAGAAAGGCCGTCGCAAATGTGTGTGTGCTCGAGTGCAGACAATAACTTAAACAAAGCCAGAAATCAACAACAACAACAACAACAACAACAACGAGAATCTTTAATAATAAATGGGTTTTTATTGTTTGACCCCTTGAACTGGAATACTTCGAATCAGTTTTTGTATTGTTGTTTATTGCCGTTCATTAAATAAACATAAATCTCGGCATGCAAGCGAAAGAATAAGACGAAAAAAAACGATAACGTCTAAAATGAAATAAAACGATAAAAAAAAAAGTTTTCTGGTTTCACCCAAACGATCTCGAGCGAATCGCTGTCGTTTCACATCGAAAAATGTGCAATTCTTTATCGATTTTTTGTTTTGTTTGTTCGGAAGTATTTTAATTGAAAGTCCGTTTTGGCAAACCAACATAAATTTCCTCGCTGAAAAGTAATTTTCCTGGATCCACCATTCAAAAACCATTGACTTTTTATAAATTCTTATTTCTACATCACTGTCGAATTGTTTATCGATCGTTGTGGAAAATTTCGTTTATACATCGCCGTCGAAGACCGCCCAAAATCAATGAAATGCCTGCGATAAATCTTCGAAATGAGCGAATGCCTCAAACGATCGACTGAATAAAATATATCGTAATTATACCGTGTGCTTGCGGAACAGGTACATCGAGAGAGAAAAATGATGCTCGTCATGCATTACAAAGCATCATCACAGTTCAATATGGGCAAATTGAGTGAATCGACGTTAACTTAATGCCGTACGTAAATTAAATTGATTGATACAGAATGTGATTGCGAGATAAAGAAAGACAGGAGAAGAAAATATGGCGAAGTGAGGCGCAAAAACGGCAAAATAGAAAAGAAAATTGAATAAGAAACACACACATATACCCGTAGCGCATTTGTGAAGCTAGAGCTCCGAATGAGAATGAATCGAAGAGAAAATAACGACGGTGTTGCGTATCGTAATGTGTGAAGCGCGCGCGTTGTGACCGAATTACTGCAATTCAATTTTCTCAAATTCAAAGAAATATATCCGAAGCGAGCGACAACAATCAGAAATGTGACATTGATTTTTTGTTGCGCGCATCGCTCTTTCTCATACCGTATTCAGTTTGCATGTTTGACAGAAGGAAATCAGACTGGCGTTTATCTTGCATATATGCATTTTCAGGCCTCCGAATAAGCTAAATCCAATTTGTCTGCTATCTGTTGGTTTCTATTTATTTTTTGTTCTTCTTTTTTTTTCTTCCATCGAAAGCAATGCAAAGTGGATTGCGACACAAGTGCGCTTCAGCGCCTCCAATCGTTTGCAACGAACGATAAAAAGTCTCATGCCGGGTTTCAAGAGTATTAACCTGATTTTTTTTTATCTCTTTTGCTACATTCTCATTTAGCGCGCTATCGGCCGTCCCAATTATTTAGAACTGTCCGTTTTTGCGATTATGATTCATGTATCTAATTTGTTTATTTCTTTTCATTTCATTTTTGTGCAGCATAACGTCGCGATCGAATTGGCTACCATGGTATCTTTCTTTTGGATTGTGGAAAGCATATGAGTAGAACAAAAGACCGATCCGGCCTGAATTTGAAACGAATGAAAAAAAAACATCTTTGGAAAAGATTCAATAAGCAGCGGCTAATGCCCACAAGACTAAAACGAGAAAAAAAACTAGAAGAACAGAAAAAATTAGTAAAGAACGAAACATCTGAGACGAATTTCAACGGACATCATACAAAGTTGTATGCAATCGTACATTGGACTTGAGTACACCTAACGGTAAGTGCATTTTGTCAATTCATTTTAGAAAAATTGCATTTTTCCATTTGCACAGCAACGTCAGAGAAGCAAAAAAAGCATTGATTTTGTCTGTCTTTGCGGATTGTTGTGTCATGTGAGTGTGTATGAGCTGGATGTTCTACACACTGATTTAATTTGAGCGCTCGAAAGCGGTGATATTGCTCGCCGTCGAGAGATAATCCATTTTGGATCAAATTCAATTGACCCGAGCAAAGACAACCTTTCGGCTTCCACGTATTCTAGACTAAATCTGTACACGTATAATATTTCATTGGAATCGTTCATTCATCTCATTTATTATATTACGATCCCGGGTAAGCGAATATTGGAATAATGTTACATTGTGTTTGGCGTTGAGTTCAGCCAGCACATCTCACAGCACAGCTCATCTTGTTCGTTTGAGTTCTCACAAACAAACACACACACACACAAAAACTCAACTTGTCTTTGAATTTAGATATGTTTTGTTTTTCTTTCTTTCTGAGCAAGCAACCGCCACTTGAACGACGGATTACTTAATGCTAAACAGAAAGAAAAAAAAACAAGCCAACCAACCAACAACCGAGAGAAGAAAAATTGTGCGGTAAAACGGTGAGGTAAAATGTACAGTCGGCAAAAATTTAATGTGGGAACTATAAAAACAGCAAATTTAATAATATCGTAACGGTAAAAAGTTTAAAATATGGCAGAAAAAAGCATTGATATTAAAAAAACGGTGAATGCATGTGGTTTTTTCCATAGTCAAATATTCAAATTCATAGTTCAAATAGGAAGATATTCCATTCAGCATCAGCTGCCGCAGCCCCAAGTCAACAACAATGAACCGAAAAGCAAATAGAATCACATCATTTTCGATCCCATTCTTTTGGAATCAAGCAAGTCGAAATTGAGCAATCGAGCTATAACGACTGCAAAACGGTGTTGCCCTCCCCCCCTCTTTCAAGTCTCTCCATCTTGATACATAATGTGTATATTAAATTGTCGATCACATCAGATCATTTCGCAAAATTAATCCAAACATTAGCATATTTTATCGAGCACGAATTTTCAAAACGCTCTCACGTTTACCTGTTCCAATCGATTCAATAAATTCAGAGATAGGCCAATGAATTACACATTTTTTGTTGTTCGCTCACTTTTCGAAAGTGCATTTGTTGTACACATACCTCTTGAGTGTGTGCGGTGCAACCAACTTAAAACGCACTTCCGATTCCAAGAGATGCAACAGAACGAGAGAGAAAAATGTGTTTTTTTTTATCTGCTTGCAACTATGCGAACGAACAAACACTTTTTGTAGCAGTGAGCGCGCCCGGCCACGGAACGAACAGAACGGTTCACTTGCTGCTTTGCAATTTAAGAGAAGCATAACCCCAGCACGATGCGAATAAAAAGCATAAAAACACAGCGGGCTGGAGAGCATCAGTCAGAACAATACGCAACAAAACAATCGCAGTTGTTAAGATTAATTGATGTTCTGTTTTCGTTAGATTGATGATGTTTTCAATTGAAGCTAAAGAAAAAAGTGAATTTCTTTTTCGCTTTATTCTGTCGAACAGCAGCACCAGCAGCAACAGCAGCAACACAACAAATTCCTTGGGCTTGGTGGCAGTAGTAGGCTCTCAGTGTTACCGTGTTCTGTGAACTCATCGCTCAATTTGATTGATATAATTGAAGCCCAAAAAATGCGGATTCAACAAGTTTAATCAGCAAAAAAGAGTACAGCAAAAGATGAATTTGTACATTTTATTGGTGTTTGTGTTTGAGTTCATGGTAGGCCTCATCATCAATCCGAATAACAAATAACCGAATAATTAATGCCAAAAGATTTGCAGTTCACAAAAAACGTAAAAAAATTAGCCGTTATATGGCATTCTTTTCCGGATAAAACAGTAAGCGGTATCTCATTTGATTAAATTTTCAACTAGTCTGTCTGTTGTTTTTTTGTCTCCTGCGATCTCTCTGTGAACACGGGCGCACGCCAGCACGGCAAGTTATAAAGGGCCAATAAATTGATTTGATACTCACCCATAGTGGTAATTTCGAAATTTTATTTGTCATAAGCTAAGCAATTTCTTGAGAATTCTGATGCATAAAAACGACGATATAAAATTGTGGTTTCAAATGACGGCTGCCTGGCAATAATAATAACATTCCGTTGTAATAATAACGTTTTTACATGTAAATATTTATTCAAATCATGTTCCCAGACTGTATGATGGCTTTCACATTATCCGTTTTTATTTTTTTTACAATATTTGACTTTTCCACCATTGAAAATCTACTGTACACAGGCACCGTACACCGCACACAACCATCGGATTACAATAGCGATAGTGATGGCAAACGCTCAACAATAGCTAAAGTCAAATCACTTTTGAATCCAGCCGCTGTATTTTCTTTACTTAATCGAATTACTTACTCTCTGGGAATGCACACAATCGAGATGGCTATAAAATTTAAGTCTCGCCATCAGGCAGATTACTTAAGATACAAGTCGTTAATTGTACGTGGTATTTTTGTCTTTGCAAATCCACTCTATTCACAGAGAATGCACACACAAACAATGCACCATATAAAACATCCAATAACTTTGAAGTACACATTGAAAAGAATAAAGTGGAAAAAGGCAGCGTTGTACTTTGATTTTCTTATAAAAGTCTTAAACGCGATCATTCATATTTTATGATGTTTATTCCTTGATATATGTATACAATATCAGCTGTTTTGTTGGGATTACTTGAAAAAAGACGAAGTACGATCTTAAAATCATCTGATGCGATTGATTCAATTAAATTTGCTTGCTATTTCCGGCTGGTTTTTGTTTTTCGTCCATCACACGCATTCCTCGGAAATTCCAGGAATAATACGATCACAACATATATTCAAATAAATTTCAATTGAATTTTCCATGGATCAACGCAAAAGTCAATGTTATAGCTTAATCAATCATGAGCGCCATTGCACAAAATTCGGCGTCAAACTCCATTGAATTTATTGGCCCAAATGATTTAATATGATCTTTTGCCCTAAAAAACAACGAAGAAAAAAAATGTATGAATACGCGCTTTATTTGAAGCCCAATTTTCATGTTCGCTGTGGCAATGGTCAACAATTGATGTTGTGCATGAAAAAAATTCAATGGTAAACGGAGCAAATCGATAAAACTCGATCGGCTCAATGTGATCAAAGTAAATTAACAGTCATAAATGGAAACGAGCAAAAAGAAAACATACACATGAGTACAATGATTGTCGTAATCGCCCCGGCAACAAATTTATTATATGAATGGTGCTGTGTGTTTGTTTTTCGACTTCATTTATTGAAATATCAGTTACGTTACAATACGATACGTCAATGTGCAAGAGACAGAGCAACACACGCATGATCACAAGTTCACCGACGATCGATTGTTTCTGCAATCGATTTTTGGTCGAGGGCGTTTCCACACGCTGTGCGACCATGCTCAACACTGTGCCATGTCCAACTGTTTTCGGCAAATCCATTTCATTTCGATTCGAAATCATTTACCACTTGAAAATCTCGATAGAAACGTTGGATTGTTAGGAAATGAATCGAAAAATCATTTTTCGTTTTTCCATTTTTCATTCGCAAATTGCCTTTGTCCACTGCATTTCAAATGATTCGTGCTCATATTTTCCCATGTTCGATTGCAAGTCGTTTGTCATGCACTTTTATCGCATAAAGACACCGCTTTGCATTCATCGGGCATTTAAAATCTGTCACCGTTCGGCTTCCACCAAAGCAATCAAATGATAAGACCTCGATGTCACGAAATACCATGCAAATTGTTTGGCCAAACCAAAAATGTTATGTAAGACCAACAAATAAATTTCCTGGTCACATTCATTGCATTCTAGCTACGAAATTTTCGTTCAATGTTGTCACCACTGCGCACACGACTTATCATATCCCATTTCACTGATCCGAAATGAATGATGGTGTTCGATCGCGCGCCGTTGCATAAGATCAACACGCACCCAAATATCAATCACTAATTATTTCAAATCCGAAAAGTGTGGCCGAACCGATTCGATTACTAATTAAATGATTTGCGGTTTTTGTGTGTTGAGTGTTTTTTGTCTGCTGTTTTTCATAAAACCTCAATCAAAATGCCTAAATGGATAATTTGCTTACGAAATGCACATACATCATAAATTGTTCGAACCGTTTTTTTTTCTCTCTCGATCGATATGTATAGGTTACTTTAGATTCCGATTTCATATCGAATCTATTTCAAACGTTTCACCAAGTCGACGGCCCACAAAACATTGATGTGGCTTGATTGAAACTCAATCGATTTGTGTGTTTGTACTGCATAAAGTGAACGGGTGTGCAATCGCATATTGATTAAATTTCAGAGTTTTGTTTCAAGTGATCACCTCATTTACAATCGCGCATATTTCTTAGGACAGCAAAAGAATTAAAAAAAAAAACAGAACTACAGTCGGTATGTGAACCGAAATTTCTGCTTGCAAAATCTGCAACAAAAAAACACACATTAAATTTATCAATCGTCAAAGTATTTCCATGAAAGTTGATCTGTTTAGTCTGACACAAATTACTTAATCGATGTGCTCTGTTCATATTTTAAATAGCTGAAAATCCATTAATTTGAATACGACGTGCATCTTGAGAGGAAAAAAAGAAACAAAACACATTTAAGTATTCCGAAGTTATTGCAGCTGTTAAAATATTCTTCAATTCTCCAAAGTAACGAAGGAAGAGCGAAGAAAAAAAAACTCGACGGATAGCTAGAGAGTTTTACGTTATTTATGATCGATATTTTGTTCTCATTTGTTTTTGTTTTTTCATGCAAATCCGTGGCGTACAGCAGCAGTCAGTTTGCCATTCATTGAATTCTTTGGTGCTTAATTTCTTTGTGCAAAGTGCTCTGTTTTCATATTTGTCACTCACTCAATAAGCGCAAATAATCTTGTCTCCATCCGCATTATACACGC